CTAGCGTTTCCACCACTGAATTCATTGCTCTACTCCCTCTATACCCACGACTGTAAGGCCAAACACAACACCAACTCCATCATCAAGTTTGCCGATGACACCACAGTTGTAGGTCTGATCACAAACAATGATGAGAGGGCCTACAGGGAGGAGGTCAATCTCCTTACAACATGGTGTGATGACAACAACCTCACCCTCAACGTCAGCAAAACCAAGGAGCTGATCTTTGATTTCTGGAAACTGCAAACCGGACATGCGTCTATCCACATCAACGGGACTGAAGTGGAAAGGGTCAGTAACTTTAAATTCCTTGGTGTCCATATCACCGAGGACCTCACATGGTCTCTCAACACCTCACATGGTCTCTCAACACCACCTGTCTGATCAAGAAAGCGCAACAGCGCCTGTTCTGTACTTCCTAAGACGGTTGAAGAAGGCTAAGATATGTCCCCAGATCCTCACTAACTTTTACAGATGCACTACAGAAAGCACACTGACAGGCTGCATCACAGTGTGGTATGGCAACTGCAGTGCTGCTGACCGCAAAGCCCTACAGCGGGTGGTGAAAACTGCCCAGTCCATCACTGGGGTTACCCTCCCATCTATCCAGGACATTTATGACAGACGGTGCTTGAGGAAAGCTCTAAGCATAATCAAAGACCCCACACACCCCAGCTACAGACTTTATGATCTGCTACCATCTGGAAAACGGTACCGGAGCATTCGGGCCCGGACTACCAGACTCAGAGACAGTTTTTACCCCCGCACTATCAAACTGTTAAATTCCCAGCCTCTCTCACTCTCACTCTCACTCTGAACCTCACAGTGCCTTCTTTCTTTCTAACCAAAAACCCAAACACACAAAAATCTACTTCTACCATACATGTCAAAGTCACTCCCCATAATTTCTATCCCTTTATTTTATTCTGTTGATGCATATTTTTTGCACATAACCTGTTAACTTTTTGTTGTTTTGCACATTGCCTGTTGTTGTTTTTTGCACATTGCCTGTTGTTGTTTTTTTTGCACAGTCTGTTGTTGTTTTTTTTGCACATTGTCTGTTGTGTCTGTCTTTCTTTTGCTACACAATTGTATTGTTGTTGTTGTTGTTGTTGTTGTTTTTTTCTCTTTGTACTACTTATGTCCAAGAGCTAGCTAAATAGCATTTCGTTATACCATATACCATGTATATGATTGTAATGCCAATAAACTTGAAACTTGAACTTGAACTTGATGTCCCACTGTGGTGCTGATTTGAATAATTTACACTGCCTTCAGCATCTGGAACACACTCCACTTCTCCCTTCTCACTGAACCCCTGGCTCACTGAGACCGGGCAAATCAGTCTTATCTAAAACCCAATCCGTAAACAAAAATAGTCTTATTAAACTACTTCATCACAGACAGAAAACCCAGCTTTCCATGCTTGAATGAAACCTGGCACAGACATATTAACAATCTTGTTTAAAAAGATTGTCACTCCAGGTTGCGGTTTATTTGAGCAATCTCATCCATCTGGTTATGGTGGGGGCCTGATTGTTATTTTTAATGTACTGTTAATGTGTGTATGTCTGGTTATTGTACCTCTGCTTTCTTCTTTTGAGTGCCTGGTTTTAAATGTCTCTGTTCTCCATTCTAGACTCATTTCTATAATTTACTGACCCCCAAGTATAATGAAGCCTTTTAAGGTGGGTGTGCCCATTTACTTTCTCTGTTATGCTTCAAATTTAATATGATTCTTATTCTTGGTGATTTTACCATCCATCTTGATTCACAGCTTTCCAGTTTAGCAAAGAATTTTCTCGTTTTGTTGGAATGCTTTGGTCTCAAACAGCTTGCACTCAAATCCAACTCACAACAAAGGTCGAACCTTGGACATCGCAAATTACTTTTATTTCCCACCCATCTTGAAACAGGCATTTCTGATCACTCGGCTGTTCTCTTTGAACTAGAATTAAATTAAACAAGCGTTATTGGCTTGACCAATTAATTACAGTGTTGCCAAAGTGTATACAGTACATGCTACAGACATTTAGGATACAAACACATCACTTACTGTGCTGCCAGCTCTACTAATTTCCCTCCCCCTTCTCCCAGCAGGATTCGCTCCACCATGCCTGTTACTACTACGCCTCCTTCCTGTCTGCCTGTGTTTGCTCATTCTCTTCTTTCTAACTTCTCTTAACTTGACATTGCATGCCAGAGTAAATTGGTATAGCGTGACCACTTATTTATTAGATCCCATTCCTACTGTTTTACTTCAACCCAGTTTTTTTACCCCTCAGCCCCGTCATCCTCAACATTATAAATGAGTCCTTCAGCACTGGAGTGGTATCAATGGCCTTTAAAACGGCTGCAGTCAGCCCTGAGCCTAAAAAACAAATATAGCTCAGGACATCCTAAACAATTTTCACTCTATATCCAACCTACCTGTTCTTGCAAACATTTTAAAATGTGCTGTTACATTTCAATTAAATAACCATCTCATTGCACCTGACCTCTTCAAAACCCTCAAATCTGGTTTCATACAACTACACAGCACAGAAACCGCCCTTGTTAAAGTTACTAATGATCTTGTTATAAAATTCTTCCGCAAACTGGAATGTAGGCAGAGTCTTTCTGGCTTGAGTGTACATTTCAGATTCCAGATCTGTTACCTTCCTTATTCTCCTCAGTACTGCTTTGGAGTTCTGGCATTGCTGGTTCAACTCTTACGTTAATGACTGTCAAAACTTTATCTCTCTTAGGGCTTTCAGTTCTGAAGTTTGATTTGTTACGTCTGGAGTTCTACAGGGCTTAACACTGGGCCCCCTACTATTCAGCACTTAGATGTTCCAATAGATGTTTTCCTTCATTTAAGCTGTAACAAGAAGTCATGCTTCTCCGCACATCTCATCAACTACTGTATGTAAAGCCAATGCAGTAACCCTATCTGTGGATAGCACCATACTTGAATTTCAATCTACTGTAAATGGAAGAATTTGGGGACGATATTTGATCCAGGTTTAATATTTGACCCACATGTGCAAAATATTGTAAGAACATCATTCTTTGATCTCAGAAATATCGCCAGACTACATCCTATGTTGTCTTTGACTGTAGCAGAAAACCTTGTCCAAACATTCATCTTTTCTAGAATGGATTACTGCAATGCCCTACTCCTTGGGGTATTTAATCCACACTGAACAGACTTCACTATGTCCAGAATTTGGAAGCCAGAATCCTAACCAGAATGCATGTAAGTTATCATATTACTCCTGTCCTGGAGTCCCTGCACTGGATCCTATCAGGGTTCATGTTGACTTAAAAAGCCTCATGTACACCTATAAGGCACTTCAGTACCTATCTGACCTGTTATCTTCTGTTAGCCTTCTCTTGCTACATCCCAATACACTATATACCTCTATTCCCGTGGATATCAGGGTGTCAAATCCTGACTCAAAGCCTTCTTCTTCAGAAAGGCTTTATTTAAATGGTGTCTGTGTCTGCTCCCGGCATCTTCTATTACATTTCTAATCCCTTGTGTTTATTTGTGCTAATCTTGTTGTCTTCTATCTTTGTTAACTGTTTTCTTTTGTTTTAACTGTTTTTTACTTTTCCTGTAAAACACTTTGAGAAGCTATTACAAAAACAATAATGCACTTGAGAGCACAACTCTGCTAGATACTGACAACAAATCCAATGTCCCACACAACTCTCCCAATTCCTTATTTCTGAAATCCTACACCCATGAAAGAGAGATCAGAATTACATTAAAATTGGGAATTGTACACTAAGATAATTATTTTTTGAGCCATATCGCTTCCTTATTAAATATTATTTAACAAAACTATATGATATGCAATAATGAGTGCTCTTTCTGTTATAGCTTTCATAATGTCATCGACCTCTTTCCGATTCTCTGATCTTCTACTAGTGATCCAACTAACAAAACATTCTGCAATCTCCCTCACGAGATCATAAAGTATCTATCTAAAAATAGCATATCATCTTTCTCAAGCAACAATTAACCACAGATCAGGCACATCTAAGAATTACTGTACCCATGCTTTACTTGCTTCCCAGCATATGGACTTTTTATATCTGTATTTTTATAAAAAATACCGTCTATGCTAAGAAACCAAAAATGTCTGAAAAATGTGAGAAAATTCTGGTATGTGAAAATGTGGTAAAGTGAAAGTGGTGTTATCTTATGTCTTATCAAATTTCTCATCTCTTCAAACAGTACCAGGGAATATGTATTTTTCAGGATTGAACTGGAATCCTGTGGTCTTGGTGACTTAATCCCAGTATTTAGTGGTTGGGCACATTGACAAAATGACTTCAAAATGTGCTTTAAATGGAGTTTTCAAGATCAGTTTCTTTCTTGTAAAAAAAGAAATTAAGATGTGGATTCCTTAACATTCATCCATTTTCTAACTGATTCATCAATTTCAGGGGTGCAGAGGAGCCAAAGCCTATCCTGGCAAGCAATGGGCACAAGGTGGGCTACACTTTGGATGGGATGCCAGTCCACTGCAGGGCACAATTAGGCACAAACACACTCACACCAGGATCATTTTTAAGAAGCCAATTGTCCTTCCAGCATGTCTTTGGACTGTGGGAGGAAAACGCAGCACCCAGAGAAAACCAACACAAACATTGGAACATATAAACTCCACTCAGACAGTGCCTCAGGTCCAGAATTAAACTCAGGACCCAACCACAGTGAGACAGCAATGCTAAATACTGTGTCACCCTATTCCTTAATATACGTATCAAAGCCAAATTATTTTAAAATCACAGAGATTTTAGATCCAAGAAACAGCAGTAAAGATGAGGCCATCTTCAACTTACAAAAGAAATATTGATATTTATTGAGTGCATGTAAGATGGGAAGAAATGAATGTCTAAAACAGAAGCCTAATCAGATTTGTACGCACTGTAAGAAATCCCACTTCTGCCGTTGCTTTTCCTTGCTTTGCTAAAGAAGACGTTTCCAGAAAATTTTACATACTTACAAATTTGTCAAGCACAGCTCTCTGGATAGTGGAGACCATCTCCTCAGTTCCTGAAATCTGAAGGGTGAAGGCTTCTATGCGGGAATCTGGACCTCTGCAAACAAGCATTGCTGGTAGTTTCACTGCATAATTCTGAGCCCTGGAGAGAGACAGAACATTCACAGCAGTATGCAAAGCATAATTTATTTTTATAATTTATTTATTAACAGGAAATATGCTGATTTAACAGATTTACACCACATAGAACTTTGGATTACAGCTAGAAATGGTTGGGAATAACGTCAAATTCATTAATTCTCTTTAGTTCTCCAAGTACTTTGTTGGACCCCTGTAAGCCTTTGAAGGCTTACAGCAAGCAACAGTGGAATCTTAGGAAGACAGTTTTCACATCTGCATGCCTTTTCTAGTACTTATAAGGGCCTGGGATTGTGCTTATAAAAGCATTAAACTATAAAGGCTGGACTTCTCAGACTGTTCCAAACTTTTACAGCACCAGTTTTTTGGGAAGAGGGAAACTTTTATGATCGGATATCATTGTGAACCAAGTTATGACTGGATATCAAGACTTGGTTATTGAAGATTTTCATTTAAAAAATAAGAGCATTCTGTATATATGTTTGAGTTTCACTTACAATGCTAACCTGCTTAGTATTATTCACAACGCTGAAATCCCAATGTTAAGTCCCAAACAAATGCAAACATTCCCTGTCTCTCTGGTAATAACAAACTGGATTTGAATGATACAACCTGAATACTATAAAAGATATAATGCAGGTCAGCCCCTATCCCACCATATGGAGGTGAAGCGGTGGCTCTGTGGCTAAGGATCTGCGCCTGTGGCTGGAAGGTTACTGGTTCAAATCCCGCGGCCGGCAGAGGAATCCTACTCCTTTGGCTTAACTCTTAACCCCAACTGCTCCTGGGGTGTCATATAAATGGCTGACCCTGCGCTCTGACCCCAAGCTTCCCTCTCCCCGTGTCTCGTGTCTCATGGAGAGCAAGCTGGGGAATGGAAAAATAAATTCATAATGCAAGAAATTGTATATGGCTAATAAAGTGATCTTATCTTGTCTACAAAAGTGTGTTTCTAATATAGTGATCTTGAAGAAAACATTTCTTAAAGTGTAACAAAATCTCGAATCAGCACTTCTCACTAACACTACGTAAAGACTAAACAAAGAGTAAAATTTGAACAACAGCACTGGGGAACGGTAAAAAGATAAAATGATCAAGACAGTTGATTTCCAAGAAATTATTAAGTTTACTCCCCTGAGTTTCATCTGCAGTTTTCACAGTTAAATGGAACAATCTGTTAGAAGTCAAAGTAAAAACCGTGGGAAAATGTCAAGCAAACATTCGGAGTTAACCAAGGCAAACACATGTTTCTTGGGATTTTTTTTTTCTGTTGGTTTTTGTTTCTGACCTTTACGGGATATTGTATCATTTCATCAATTGAGAGCGGAATTTCCAGAGTGGAATAAATCTGTTATCGTGCCTTTATGACTGTCTTGGTGCTGGCTACCTGCATTTATCCCACATCTCCCCTTGAACAGTTTCTCTCATGCAGAAGATCTTTGAGCTGAACATCCAGATGTTTCTTTATTTTTATAGCATTGTTTAACAGGTCATTTATTTTTTAGATTAATAAGAGATACCATGGCAGAACACAAACCAATGCAATGCATTACAGTTTCTGCCCAGGGATAACCAACTGCTTCGTCCACATTAAAAATAGTGGTTTTGTTAAGGGGCACAGTTTCGAAAAACTCTGAAGGTAGAGAATATTTTAACAAGAATTAGGCAAAAACAGCTGTAAAACAGAAGAATCAATTGTCAAGAACAAGATGACGAAAAGCTGTAGCTTAAGTCCGTGTGTGGCTAATGATAATGCCACAAGAGTCCCACTTCAGTTCTTGCCAAAAATGATTGCTAAATTGTGCAAGACCGAGCAAGCCATATACAAATATAGCAGCTGGAGAGCTAGAGCCACCTTCTAGACAGATCTTGTCAAATCTTGGAAGCGAAGAAAGCTCAGGCTGTCGGTACTAAATAGCTGATTCTTAAGCAAAACCAGGTGGCTGCTGAAAGCAATACTGGTGGACTTCCAGTAGTGGATGATCCAAAAGGCACAGGAATTAGAACAGGTTTTGTCGTCTTCCTATAGGCAGAGTGCACATATACATATGGACCTTTGTATATTTGGGATCCTTTAGGAAGAAAGGCACAATGCAGATGCAAGCTATGCTTTTTATTGCAACAGAAGTAAGCAACCAAGTAATATCCATTTCATTCACAATACTGATGTCCTACCCATTTAAGTGAATGGAAGTGCTATTTCCTTAGCAAGCTGAACTAAAAACAATTAGAAACTCTGTCATTGTGACAAAACCAATTAAAAAAAAAACTAATTTAGAAAGGTCTATCCAATGTCAGTTTTTTGGGGGGTGTTTTTCACAGCAACCATTCCTCTACAGCATAGAATGAACTGAAGCACCTACCACTTGGCTGCTTCCTCCTCTGTGAAGACGCCCATAAACACCTCACCCCTGAGCATCTTTGCAGCTTCACCGAACAGAGCACTTCCTGTGGAACACAGCAGGACCACGTATCAGCTGCCTTATGCATTACATGTAAAATGATAAAGTGATCTAAATCCTGAGCTTTAGAATCTACAGGGGCTCTTAGAGGGGAAAAAAAGACAAATCAGCTAATTCATGCTATTTAAAATCTGAAAGCGAGGCATACCCGGCAGGCAAATAAAATTCAGAGATTCGCTTTTTCTGAATCACTCTATTGCGATCTTTGGGAGATTAAAGAAAGGGATATAAAGAGACAGAATGTAATGTTAATGAGCTGTCCCTTCAACACACACACACACAAAAGAGAGGTTTGTTATATAGACATTTCGACTGAATATTTACTATTTTATTTGTAAAAAGGTAGCAAAAGGTGTCCAAAATGAATGAAAACCCCTGAGGACAGCAAAACAAGAAACCGCTGCACAAGCCAACAAGACATTAAGCGTGAGGCAAATAAGTAAGTTGTTTCAAGTCAGCAAAGGGAAATCTGAATGCATAAGTGGCCATAAGTGTTGAGATAACATTCTCCCCACATTTGACATTTATGAAATATTACAATTACTATCATAATTCCTATCATCCGCACGGAAATCCTTATGTGGTATGATCTTTATTTGAATCAAAGGAAAACAAAACTATGACAAAGCTAGCAACAAATCAAATAAGTGATCTAAGAGGTGCTTTTCATCAAGAGCTTTTTTAAGTGTAAATAAATATGGGTTTAGGGATTCTGTGCAGAGCTTCACTAGGAAATTACTTGCTTAGAGGGCAGGTGAAGCCCTTTGCTAGTTTGGTCCTGGGGTCATGTCATCAGATTAAATTGCATTAATGACAAAGCACTGCCAGGGTAGGGGTCAGATTTTTTTGTGTGGCTTTGAATTAAAATTATTTTTGGTCTCCAAACTGAGTAAAGACACTTCTTTGGTTAACCAAAGGAGTCCAGACATCTTCATTTCAAGCTTGGTCAGTAGACTACTGTGTCTTTGACTTTCTAGGCCAAAGTGTTACGACCCCAATTGTCTAGGGGTAAAGGGGTGTAACATTTAGGATAATTTTTGGATGCAGGTGGGTTCTGGGGAAGGACTAGGAAGCATGTCAACAAGGGTTGGTGCAAAAGTGATTATTTTTAGGTGAATAAGTGACTGGTACGTAATAGGACACAATAACACACAGTGAAAAGGAACTAGAGTGGTGCCAAAGAAAAGAAAATAACAAACAAAATGGAGCTGCTAAGAAAGTGAGGGAAAGCTGACCTAACTACAAAAGAAAACCCGAAACACACGGTCTTAGGTGTCTTTAAACACCCTAGCTAACCTTCACTGACTACAAGACAAACATATAACACATTAGGCAAAACAAGGATAAACACACAAACAAAAGTACGAGGAGATGAACACAAACCAAGAAAACAACAAAGCCAAAGCTATATGAAAACATACACACGAAGAGAAACAAAGCCAAAGCAAAACCAAAACCGAAGCTGAGCCGAGCAGGACCGAAGTCAAACGACTTTGTTCAGAAAACCTCCAACTTATATACTCAATAAGCTGCACTCTGATTGGCTTAGAAACTGATTGATGATGACATCACAGGGAAAAACTTATGTAATGATGGACCAATGGGGGAGGGAGAACAATCAAAGTCTGAAGTGTGGAACACAGTAACAAAACACACATGGACCACACACTGGGACGTAACAGTTAGAACTGGCCAGACAGCTGCGAGCTAACAGTCCTCTCAGTGAAAGAGTCATCCTGTTTGAAGCAATGCTAGTTCTCAGGTAAGCTTAGTGACAGTGTGGAGCTGGCACCATGAAGGCAAACAGCACTTACAAGTGGGTGTGTCACTGGAGCCTTGTAAAGTGCTTATTCCTCCAATGATGTACAACTTACAGGTGCTCATCCAGAGTCCTGTGTCTGCAGCTCAGCTCATAACAACCCAGGTGAACTACATATTGGCATTATACAGTAGGTGTAGTGTAAGAGCTCCTCCAGGTCTTAAGCTGCTGATGCTTTATATGTCTTTTTAAAACCTGCGGGTCCAGAGGTTACAGCCATCGTATGAGTTATCAAACTGGAGTATCAAATGGTAGGGCATAAAGTAGAAAAATCAAAATTCAACAAAACAGTTGTAAAATGGTAGCTAAGAAGCTTCTTTATGTTATGTTACAGTATGTCACGATACTGTCAACTGGGGTGGCCCAAAATTTCAGAAGAATTTCAGATTTCAAGCGTTAATAACGAATGCTTGTTTTAGAATTCATATAACAAAAAGGAAAAATAAACATCGCAAATAGACTAGTCTTAGATCAGCAAAGAGGCAAATTACAAATAATGGGAAATGTCCCACACACAGGACAGAGGGGTCCCCACTACCTTGATCCTGGCTGGAGCTGAAGAGGCCCAGAACAGTGACTGGAGAGAAGGCTGCATATCTCTGGTAAAGCTCCCCACCAAGATAGGACTGCACTTCATCTTCATTGGACAGGAGGAGAGGGACAGCTTCCCGACCCCTTGAACCAAAGAGGAGACATCCGATGACACCGATACTGGAAGATAGTGGTGCAGAACTACATTCCTGTATGTGGCATTCAGAAGCAGTTTAACAGCTCTTTCTTTAAAATTTTGTTAAAAACAAAACATAAAACATGCTGGAGAGAAGGACCGTAGGACTGGAGTAGGCAACAAAGAACTTTTACTGCTATTGAAGAGCTCCAGCCTTTGTCCACTAATGAATTAGAATTACGACACTGAATTTCAAATGCAAAGAATGTGAGTTACTGTAGAAGAATGGGATGAACACAATATGGTATGAAGAATAAGAATGTAAAAGATTAGATTCTGTAATCTTTTTCCTTCACTTGCACCCAAACATTCTTTGGGTTTCTGTCAGAACTGACCTTCAACAAAGTTCAGTAAGCTTCACAGGTTTTTTTATGAACAGAAAATACAGCAAGAGAAGCACATGAATCTTATTGTGTGGAAAAACAAAATTGTGGCTGTAAAATAATCAGGTCAGGAACTTTCCCACACAACACATGACAGGAAAATGCCTTCTAATGGAGAGGTGAAGGAATTAATCATTTGAATGGGTAAATGCTCTAGTTGGGTTCCATTAAAAGAGATTGCCATCATATCAAGTATCGCCTTCTGGTGCAATTTGTCACTCTAATCAACTCAGCTAAGTCAACAAAACATATGCACCAAAGGATGTAATAAAAAACAAATTAATGTAAAAAGGTCAAGAATGAAAACCAATTTGATGAAAAGCCCAGGCCTGGAACTTAAATTAATCTAAAGTACAGTACACGTGAGATTAAATCAACGTTATCAAACAATGCCAGTTCAAAAAGCACCAAATTGTGTCATCTGCTAAGCAGATGTTTATCTGTGCAGGAGCCGTGTCTTAACGGTTTGTGTCTTTCTCAGTTAAGTCACAGAAAAAAAAACAGCTAACAACAAGTAATTGTGATAAACATCAGTGGGTTTTTATGCCACATTTTTGCAAGACATAGTCTGATACCTGCACATTTTATATTTTAAGATGAGCAAGGGCACCAAAGTAATGTTAGAAACATGACAGAGAAGTAAACATTCAGCAAATAAAAAAAATATTTAACGTCTATACTGCAGATGCTCCAATAAATTATCAAAACACCACATTTGCGTCTGTCCAAAGCTCACATTCTTCTGTTCTTAACCAGTAGCAACATACTGTATGTAAAATCTCCTGAGTCTCAAAAAGAACACTATTCCCCTAATTAAATACATGCAATTAACTAGAGCAATATAACCTATGACTTAAGAGCATACCACCCAGAGAGATGATTTTGCATCCAGAGAGAGGATTTTGTATTGTGATTACACTTAATTCTGTATGTAGATTGGACAGGTATAAATCATATTTGCATGTGAATAACTTTAACCATGAACTGTATCATGCCACAGAACAAAAGGAATTAAAAAAAACCCTCAGGGACACTGAGAACATTTACCTAGATATAGTGAAAAATTCACTCAACATTTTTTCATACAACACTAGTTTCTATTCTATTTTTTATGCGTTAATTCCTGTGGGTGTATATTGGTTTTGCCCCCTCTGAAATCTATAACAATTTGCAAAATGTGCTTACAACAAGCTATTCATCGATGTTTCAAGGATCAGTAGAAAACTTTAGGTTATTTCATTTGTGAACACTAATTGACTTTAGAAAAATTTCTGTATTTACTATATACAAACATTTGATAATGTCTATATCCCTTACATATTATAAATAGTAATACAAAAGCTACACACACTATACAAGAAAAGGGAACTCACAAAAAAGAAAAGTGGGTTACTGGTGGCTACCAGAGCAGGGACAGTCAGGGGCTTTAAGGCATAGTCACATTTGAAAGCAAATGAGTCACAAACTCCCCAAACCGTTCTGTCATGTGATAGAGGAAACTCATGGGGTGCATATCGCCAAGATCCTGAAGCATGTGCAGGTCATTGTCATCAGAGCTGATGCCAAGAAAATCAACTTTTTGTAAACCAGTGTGGATAAGAAATAGGGCTGAGAGCCAGTCAGATAGTGGAAATTATTCCAGATTGGTAAAGGCTTTTGAAATTTCAGGTGTGCCAAGAAAGCAGCTGACCTTCCTCCTAATGATCAGTGACTTAAGCGACATTATTGGGTCCATATGAAGTGATATGATCCGGCCTTGAAGGGCAGAAAATACAATATGCTAGAGGCTGACTGGTTTAATTCAACACCTCTTCAGTCGGATACTATATGAGGCGGATGCCTCAGAGCCTACCTACAGTACAGTATATCCAAAATTCCTTCAAATGAAAAGCCCCTTAGTAATATTTACAAGTAGGTACACTCAAACCACCTACTGTAAAACACATAGTGGTGGGAGTGAAAAAGGAAATAAAAGTGAATTATTTTAATTTTATTTACTTATTAAAAGCAACCCTCATCCTGTAAAGAAGACCATTAGGACCATAATCTTATTCTGTTAATGAATGAAAGTTACAGAACATCTTAAAGCTGATCTTATAAGGCAAACCAGTGGACTGCGAAGAAGGGTGGAAGAGATGTTGCTTTGGTTGTGGAATTCAAAAGCATGAGAACTGATTTCAACCAATTTATTTCATGTCCAGAGAGACTATAAATGTTTTCAGATAATTCAATAAATTCAGAACACAGAGGACTGAAAGGCTCAGACAGAAAAAGGTGCATGTCATTCACACAGGGAAATATGAGATATGGGTTCCAGTACATCAGTGGGAGGAATGCTGACCCTGGAGATAATGGAGAACGTTGTAGACTTTCTGCCAAGTGTATTAGCCAATAAATCTGGCAAGACAATGTGATTAAAAATAACCATATGACTTCAATTCAAAAGCCAGCTTATACAAATCATAAATTACAATATCTTGCCAAATTTTGCTGAAGAAATACACAGATCCTTAATGTCTGATTTTGTTCTCTTCTTCTTTGTAATGTGACTTTAGGGTGGTTAAAATATTTTAAATTTAAGTTAAAAAGTAGAGAATCCAGTAAGTTAAAAGGCAATTGGCTCGATTTCTAAAGCAAAGCCACGTTTTTATGGCCCTAATAACCATTATCCAGTATAACTAGATCTTCTATAATAAACTGTCCTTCTTTTACAAATTTGAACCTGGCATTCCCACAACACTGGAACCTGTTTAATAATACCTGTATACCATATTTACTATTGCATAAAGTACAAAACAATAGTTAATCACTAGTAATGTGATACAGCAAAGAAAACAGATAACTTATTTTTTTTATTAGTATAATTTACTTATTTTTAAAAAATAAAAGGAACATTGAACATCTTCTTTACACCTTAATTTTTAACTCTAAGCCAACACAAGGCCATCAGATAAGTTTTTTAATGTGAGATTTAAAACAAAAGTACTTCTGTTACCATATCTTTAATCTTATTTGCTTTTAAAGAGAGCAAAGACCTTTTTTCCATTCACCATCTAGAGCAAAAGACAGAACGACTTAAAATTCAATCGCAATATTTAACATTTCACTTTATCACTTTTCTAGGCTGTCTGTTTATCTTGTGACTTCCTAGCCAAAAATTGAAAACAACAAAGTCATTGCCATTAGGAATTGTGTATGTTTTAGGAATGAGAGACAGCTTACAAATTAAATGCACATTCAAAGAACACAACTACTAATAAGACAGTTCTGTAAGGTTTTCTGAAATAATTTAGATTTACTGTATATCTTTTTCATTTTGCATGACTATGACTGACACATGCATCCCCTCTGTATTTACAGCATTGCCTTTAAGAGGCAACAGAGATCAAATGAAACAGCTTGCTAAATATTTATCAATCTTCCTCCTGTGTTTTTCCTCACATGACAGATGACAGTTGTTGCAGCTCCGTCTTGCATGACTGCATTAGAAAACACTTGGTGATCAGAGGGATTAATGTTACTGATTTGTTCCTGGTGGGTTATTATGTAGTCCAAGCCAGGCAGGCTGAACGGATGGGTTACTATGTATTTTTTTTCTCCATTATGGACAAAGGTGTCTACCCAATGGATAAAAATGGATACGCAGAACAAAGCACGTCTTTGTACCCCCTATGGGTGTTGCATTTTGAGAAATACTGCATGTCACCACAAGGACACTACTCTGTGGAGAAACAGAATTTAACTATGATTATCTTAACTGCAATTAAAATTAAGTGGGAGAGCAATGGGATTTTTACATACCCTCCGATTGTATAATTACAAATAATTGGGCCTGATCTTGTTTGAAAATCTCCAGGGAATTAGAAGTAAAATAAATGCAATGTCCCATCTAATAAATGTAAACATATTGAAAATACTACTTTTCAGTTTTAAGAAACTACACTTTATAGTAAAGAACTTGTGCTGTTGGACAGTTACAGTACAGCTTTAATTTTATTCACACCCCGGTGGCTGGGTGTAATTTTATTTTAATGATTTTCACACTCCAGTGGTCAGGTACTGTATAATTTCATTAAATTAATGCTGTACAACAGAAAAACAAAGAGCTCAATTTCGCTACTGGTCCAGTGGTTGCTCAGTTTCAGCAATAAGATAAAATCACTTTATTGGCCATATACAATTTCTTGTATTTGGAATTTGTCTTCGCATACCCCAGCTTGCTCTCCATGAGACACACAGACGGGGAGAGAGATGCTTGAGGTCAGAGCACAGGGTCAGCCATTTATACAGCACCCCTGGAGCAGCTGGGGTTAATGGCCTTGCTCAGGGGACCAATGGAGTAGGATTCCTCTGCCGGGAACCGGCAACTTTCCAGCCACAGGTGCAGATCCTTAGCCACAAAGCCACCACCCCACAATGGTAATTTTCCTCATTTTCACAACACAATAGTCAGGAAATGGGACTGAATGAAATTATTGTATTTGTATGAGACTCGGATACCACAAAGTGAGCTTCCATCCAAGAAAGCACCGTCATTATGAAGACATGGCTCGGGAGAATGTAAATGTATTGCAGATAGTCCCAGCAGAATTTGGTCAGTGTGAAGACTACAATTTGTGTGGACTGTCTGACGCACAGAGTTAACAATGGACAGCTGCAACAAATTGAAGACAACAAGAAATAAAACTACAAACGAGTTCTGTAACGCTTTACATGTAAAAGAATAGGCATGTGAACAATATGTGTAGTACTTTCTGAAAACAGGACTTAACTTAAAGCACAAGTGAATGAACGACCACTCAAAAACCTTATACCCAAAACATTATCAGCCTTATTGGTAGAAGCAGCATTGGTTGCTGTTTTTGTCTTGCTTTTGTGTACCTAGACCTCTTTATTTCCAAAGTTTATGTACTATTGGTCAACCTAATTATACAATTTCAATTGTCATGAAATTGCTGATTCTCCTTTGTAACCAAAATCTGGTTTTAAAAAAAAATCTTCAAATACTTCAAGGCAGCTTTTCCATGTATAGGAAAACTGCTTTCATGTATTAGGGCAGCATTTAACTTCTGCTTGCCAGGAAGCCGAAAGATGTAATTAAATCCACGCTATAGTAACCTGTAAATATGTGAAAAGGATTTGGAGTGTTTAAGTGAACTTTATAAAACAACATTATCCAGAAATACATAAGGAGTACCATAAACTAAATACAAATAAGAGTGCAAAATAACAGTAAAGTGATCCGTAATTGATTCCTCTGTAGCTAACAGAAGAGAATGATAATCTTGACTCACAGCATTATGAACCTGTAAAGACTCTCAGTTCCCAGCATGCCTCTGTAAAGCTGTGGCAGTTCACTGGGGTGGAACAACTTCACTGTCGGAAAATGTGAGACATTCTGATTGCTGCACACATCTGTCCACTCTCCACAGTCCACACGGGCCAGCTGCACACCTGTCACATCTGGAAACACAAAACCACAAGTAAAGTCATTCACTAACAGCGTGGATTAATGATAGCTACCTTTTTATTTTACTATACTGAATTTCATTCCATCTTTCCAATTCCACATATCTTTTATCTAATTTTATCTAATGTTTTATTGCTTCCTAACCTTCACGAGCCCAGTTTATAAAAGCACTTAGGGAGATGTCTTTATTGACCTACACTTTTTAAGGATACCAGGATACAATTAAGGGCACAGATGTGATAGAAACCTTTTTGACCCTTCATCATAATATGGTGCCTTTCAATATACTGTATACTTTGACATCCTCGAAGCCCGAGTCAAAAATTAGGGATTACACTTTTTTGAAGGAATGAGGCAGAGCTTGCATATAAACAGGAAAGGATGGATATGATAAGGGTTTATTCCAAGCTGAAAGGAAAATAAAAGAAACACAGTGTTTTGGCTGTGGGGCCTTCTTCAGTGGAAGAATGGTTATACATTGCAGAATGTTAAGGGTCAAAACAAATGTACCCCTTAAACAAAAGTAACTCCAAGAAAAACGTTTTAATGGAAATGAGCACTACACATACTGCATGAAAGACCCCAAGATGACATAGAACTGCAGGGATAGCTGAAAAAGATATTAGAATTGCAGAAAGAGATATCACCATGGAGGCAAAAAAAAAGTACTGCTGTGGTTTGGGAATTAGCCAACTGTTTGACGTTCTCAAGAAAAGCAGCCTGGGGTAGTCTGGGTCAGTAAAGACATTAATAGCCAACATGGCACAGGAGACCGCCAAAAGTCTTTAATCTCAGTAAATAAGTGCACTGGGAGAATATTAATAGACTTCTGGTGAAGAGTTAAAACACACTTTCTCATGTGGGTGCGATTAGGAATGTTTGCTACATGAAGGGCTACACGGTGTTAGTTGGTGGCTAAGCTTTTGAACACCAAGCCTATGCGTAGCAGCGGAGATTTTTTTCACAATAAATACTCCTTTCACCATGTTTTCTGAAGCCAATATAAGTTTGAATATTCTTAGTCCCCTCGATCCACCTCATTTAGGTTGGGGCCTGTCACGCACCCCATTCGAAATAGATATATAATGGGCAATGCTTATGTGTTCATGCAGCTGTCTGGGGTCCTTGAGGCAGTAAACACTGCCAAAGATACAGATGATCAAGAACAGTTCTCTCAGGCTACACTAATTCTCTATTATATCATTACGTCAGAATATCAATATTTAACAATGACCTCCCTATCTTATGGGGATGGGACACAGGACAAGGTAGACCTCAAAGTCAGGATAAACAGGACACTGTAAACAGAGACAAAACAGGGGTCTCAGATGAGAGGAAAAAAGAAGAGCATGATTTCTCAACTGTTGAATCCACATGCTATAGGAATAGGGTTTCATATTCATTTAAGCAGACATTTAAATTCATGATTTAATCTTGGGCAGGTTCTTTCTTTTCCATCCGGTTCCATCAGGTGTTTGTGTTTTGATTAAAAGGGGAATTCTCAGTCAGTGAGTTATCAGATTTCTGTCTTCAAGATATTTGTACATTATCAACTAATTTATCCAAGGTAATTTAGCTATTCTTTTCCTTGGTGTTTGCCATTTTTAACATTGTGGCATTGATTTATTTTAGAATGATTTTGCTACTTGTCATCGTTACATTCATTCGTCAATAGGGAATGTTATTGCTCTTTCTTCTGAACTACAGTGGGTCCTCATTATCTGCTGTTGGAAATATGTACAAATCTTTTTGAAGAGAAGAGATGTTTACTCTACATACGAATACTTTGGTTGCTAGGCATGTCAAATGGTACTGTACATATACAGTTTAATAACAATGTAGACCCTAACAAACCTTTATACTATGACCACATAAAAAATCCCTGATATTCATAGCAAAAGCAAGTTAAAGAGCTCCTTGGAATGTATTTCCCCTTAATTACATTAATTCTTATGTGAAAATAAATTCCTAATAGATTTATTTGCACTATTCAGAGAACATTTCTAGACAAATAAGTAGAACCACAATAAAAAAGAGAACTAAATCCAGTCTAGAACCAAAGAGACTGATCAATGTACATACAATTCTACAGGGAACAGAAAGAGTTAACCCTGGGAACTACAGTATTTCACACTCCGTAGTGGGGAAAAGGACCTGGTATAACAAGTGGAAATGAAAGGGTAATAAAAATCATCTTTCTACGAATAGTATTGGATATCTGAAAACTGGTTAAGAGCCAAACTCTGGGGTACTTTGTGAAAAGGCTGGACAATGATATGGATTTACATTGCTAAATAATTAATAAATAATAATTGCTTACACTTATATAGCGCTTTTCTGGACACTCCACTCAAAGCGCTTTACAGGTAATGGGGACTCCCCTCCACCAATAAACAACTACCAAACAAGCAAGATGGGAAAGCTATATTAGCTATAAAAAGCTATAACCACAGCCTATATTATGCAATTTTGAATATTCTAAAATAAAATAACACGAAATGCTTCACACATGGGAATACAAAGATAAGGTCAAACATTAGATTCTTTCTCATCTTATTTGGACTGAGACTGGAAAAATCTTATCAAAGGGTTTCCCCCCCCCCCCATTCGCACATGTTTATTAAATGGTTATTCTTTGATTTATCTTTCTGCCTGTAACATGGGTTAAAAACTCCATCTTTTTAATGTCCTACAGATATAAAGGGCAGCAAAATGTCCTTGTGACGTGTGAGCCTAGGGTTTTTCCCTGCACTGTCAAGAGGCGTCAACAAAAAATATAATAATCAGTGTACACATTCCATATCATACATGATCTCCTTTTCCCTTGTTAAATACGGTCTAATACAAGTTTTCAAACTTTTTGCACAGATCTACAGTACTTGCATCTGCCCATGTGAAAACATCATAAATCAATTTTAATAGAGAAAACTAATAAATGCACAGTTCCACCCTCCTAAATGAGGTTTATATCGCATTAAAAAAGTTCAGAGCCCTGATGGATTACAAAAAATAATCAGAAACGATTACGAGAAAATTATGTTTAGATAGCAATGAACGGAAATTAGATTCCAGCAATAATATCAGATGGAGACAACTGCGGGATTTCCATAATAGTAATCATAACCACATATCACTTACTCTTTTTCAGCGTACGTTCAATAAAAGCCTGGAGAGTGCCGTTTTCCAAATGGAACAGTTATTCACCACAAAGCACATGCTTCAAAAAAGTAATATAGTACCGACTTTTAGAAAATAACATTTCACCAATCCTTCCATTTCTTTATGTGCTATTATGAGCATTTTACTATTAGACTTCAGATGTTCTTATGAATTGTTCAAATTCATAAACAGATGAAATGTCTTGAGTCCATCCTTAACAAGACCTATATTGTTTATTAGGCTATCATTTTTAAATGTGAGCTAAAATCAAATTCATTCAGCATGAATCCAGTATCTGGCTAATTAAAGTCATCATTGTAAGAAGTATTATCACAGACAGAGGTGCACTGGCTCTGTTAAATAGTAATGAAAAGCCCCCAATTAATAATGTCATTTTTAAAGGACGTTTATTCTGGTGTAAACATTTACAATCAGGGTCTTATTAAAGTGTTATGTCAGTCTTAAGGTTTGAGGCTTTGAAATAAATACCATAGGATCATCCACAGATTCAGCTTGGAAAAACAGAACTGAATGACTGGGCTTATGACTGAAAATCATTACAGACCCTGCAGAGGATTCTCTGTTCTACAGGAGTTTGCCTGAAAACAGGACTACGTGCTGTTCAGGAATCTAATGAACCTAGGACAGTTTTAACTCTGCACTCAAGGCCACAAGCACTTGGCCTGTTATGATCTGACCACCATCAGGTCACATATAAGAGATAATCTCTTCCATGCTGTTGAACTAACTCTAGCCAAGCAAAGCAAAAATACTAGGACAGGCATGTCCCTGCTTTGAACCACAAGCCATCAGGCCACAGGCTCTCATCAAGTTCATCCTACAAGGAGTTTACTAGGTTGACATTTTCCACCGATTTAAAAAACAAACACCAGAGACCTGAAGTGTTGCCAACAACCCCATTAAATCCCAACCAAAATATCGTAGGAGCCTTAAAAACTGTGATCAATAGCATATTCCCAGTTACTGGTTACGCTGTATCACCTTTGCACAAATACAACTGAGGTGATTTCCCATTTATTAGTGTTATGTCTATATGTCTATATGTCTATAAAATGATGTCTATAAAAACAGACTCCTCCAAATTATTAAAACACTATACACTAAACCAGGATATGAACAGTACAGATGAGAGGAAGCTATGTGACCCATTCAGTCATTAGAAGCTAATTGAACTGAGGCTTTATCCAGCCATTTCCTGAAAGAAGCCAGGGTATCATCATTGCTGGGTGGCTTGAGCCAGATGTTCCTTCGGTTCCCAGTCTCAAAAACGTCTCAGAGTTAAATTAAAACATCCTGAAAAAGAGGTCCTGACTGGCTTTAATGGTAAAGGCAATTCACAGAGCAGGCTGAACTCTATATTCCAGAGATTACTGGAATTCTCAAACCGCAGGTCACACCTGCCATCAATCAGCAAATTGCCAGCTTATCCAGCAACAGCAACCTCTGGAACCTTCTGGGTAAGTGTGCAGGACAATCAGGGAGAGCTACATCTCTTCCCAGTCCATTAACCCAGCAGTCTGCTGTGGGAACTGTGGGGCTCACAGTGGGAGAAACAGCAGATGGCCTGAAATGGCAAATGGAAAGAACTGACCCAATCCCTCTCATGCTGCTACAAGAACTGTAGCCAAGCAAAGCTGAAAGCAATTGCCAGTTCAATACATGGAACAGTCAATACAACTGTTGCACATTAGAATAAAATAAAGCTTGTTTTAAAATAAATTCAGTAGTCGTGTAGTGTTATGCATATTAGGAGTATTAAACAAAACCAGCATATATATACAGTGGAACAAGTAATAGGTTTATTCCATGCTGAAAAAAAGAAGAAAGAGAACACAACGTTTCGGCCGTGGAGCCTTCTTCAGGTGCAATTCAAGTAACATTATGTTGCTTAAGGTGAAGAAGGTGAAGAATCCTTCTTCAAGTGTCACCTGATACCTGAAGAAGGCTCCACGGCCGAAACGTTGTGTTCTCTTTCTTCTTTTTTTCAGCATGGAATAAACCTATTACTTGCTCCTTTGCAGCCTACGCATGCTGACGCAGCTACCCACCTGAACTATATATACAGTGTATTACACTGATCAGGGCCTTTAATGGTGTTAATTCAAATAGAAATAATCATTATTATTAGTTAAATTATAATTTAATTTATTAATTTAATTACCATCACAAGGTACAACTGACATTTTTCTTAGGTACAATTTAATGGTAAATCTATACATGTCCTTCCAAGTGTAAAATAACTATTATTATTTACCTTACTGTTACTAATAAAGTAGAAATGCCTTAAAAATATGACCATTGTGTTGTGATAGTTGTGAGCCAACTATGCAAACAGCATTTTTCCCCCAATATGTAGACAGACAAATTCAATATCCTCTATCAAGAACTATTTCCTGTTATGCAGTGTACTTAACCAAAACTCCACAACTTTCCTAACAACTCAAAACAAAGGTCAAAACAAGAAACCAAGGAATTTACTTATGCAGGGTGTAATTCAAGTAACATTATGTTGCTTTTGTCTTTTAACTAAAATATTGACAGGCTCACTATAGCCTTTACAGCAAGTCTGTGCGTAATGTTTTTGAGAAATGGGCTGTGCAAGATCCGTGGAAATGGAGGGTTTGCATAACACCAAAAATATTTGTCTATCTACTTATAAAATAAATATTTAAAGTTGCTCTGTAATTGCTGAAATTGCAGGATCAAACACTTTACTTTGACAATATCTCACACCAGCATACAATGACTTTGAGAAAGCATTTAAAGTAAGTCATCGCCTTTTAATATCTTTGAAGATATTTAAAGCCACTCTTCAAGTAGGTGTAAAAATGATAAACTGAAGGATATAAGAATACGAAGGACATACTATGTCTTAACAGCTCAGACAAACACTCAAAAGCATAACTTATTAAATAGAATCATCCCACATTCTGTACTAACTCGGTCCATCCACTACTTAAAGGCATTTCAAACTAAGCGTTCGACAACTGGTTCCTGTTCAATGACAAAAATGTGATAACCCTGTTGCATAATCATGTCAAGAGGTCCTTCTTCATTTTTAATGATAAAACAGGACGACCTGTTTAAATAACTCCTATAGCTTCCCTACCTCTATAAATACCAATCCAACACACAAAACACAGCCCTGGTTTCCTCCCACAGTCCAAAAACACAGAAGGTTAATCTGCTACCGGGTGTGAGTGTGTGCGTGTGTGTGTCTGTGTGTCTGCCCTGCAATGCTCTGATGTCCCATCCGGGGTGTATCTTGCCTTGTGCCTGTCGCATGCCAGGAAAGGCTCCAGCTAGAAAATGTATGGATAAACATTATAAAGTCAATAGATATAAATGTAGCACCATGAGGGTGGCAGACAGATCACTTTAAGGTCGCAAAATCTGAACGTTCCAGGACTCCAAGTCCTTAAAATCTTCAGCAGGTTCAGCTAGTAAGACAAATGGAAGGAGACAGGACAAATAAAATATGCAATACAGTATATGCAAATTTAATAACGTAAAAAGGAATGTAGCCAGTTTGTTTCCAAGGAACTGGAGGAAACCAAAGGCTGCCAATAAAGACAAAGAAGATGAGACATATCTGAGGTTCTTCGTAAAGAGATGAAAATTGACCTTGAGATGCTAAACATCTTAGTGTTTTCCTCAACCTGACACTGGCAAATGGAAGCCAGGAGTGAGTGAGAGGAGAGAAAGACAAGACTATGAAATATAGACTTTTTCACCTTGCAACTCACAACCGTCAGGGCACTGAAGCTCTCCACTGACAGCTGGTGTGTGGCGCACTTTGGCTGCCATCGTATCATCCAGGTGGGGCTGCACATTTTGTGGTGGTGGAGGGGATCGCCATTACCTGGAAAGCGCTTTGAGTGGAGTGTCCAGAAAAGTGCTACTGTATATATAAAATGTAAATTCAACTAAAAGAGCTTAGCTAGAAGGTGCCCTCCAAACATGTGTCAAGGCTGTAAGAATCAGATATTAGAAATGAATGTTCACTGTAAATAAAATATCCCTGGATCTGATTAAAACTTTGTTTGAATTGTGTGGAAAATCTTTTCAATAATAGATAGTAAAAACCAAATGAGCTTAACAGTGGTGACAAGCAACCCTGAAGTGTCAAATAAATCCACCTGTTCAGTAAAAAACTTAATCTTAGATTACACAACAGCTATTTTCCACAGCAACGCTGACAAAACCCATACCTTTCAGCATGTTAGCTACCTCAAGATAAGACCGCATAAAAGCCATGGACACAGCATCCCCTGCAGGACAAAAGAAAATATTATTTTCCAGTTAACGTTTTGGTCATATTTGACCACATTATCGGCCATCAATCCATTTTGTAACCGCTTTATGCAATACAGGGTCACAGGGTAGCTTGAGTCTTTTTAATGCAGAAATATGATATTAAATGCATGCGTTTTCTTTGTGAAAGTCTACAGCACCACACCTCTAAAACATGCTTATGTATCAGACCATCACTGCTCCATGAGCTTCAGACAGTCAGGATCTGAGGAATCTGCTGAAAATCTTGTGAACAAGTCAGCACTAAGAACCTGATGTTGGCGGACATCAAAATAAAAATGAACACAGAAAAGTATGACTAGTGTTCTTTTTTCCCCACTCACAAAAATTACGTTTTAGGTGTTTGTGTTTACTATATAGGTGCTTTTTATATTTGTAATTCTATTTCTGCTTTCAATAAATGTTTTTGAGCGGTATAAATTTAGTCTATCCACACAAATATGTTTACACAGGATCCCACTTAATCTTAAAATCTGATGCATGTTAATTTTTCCACAACTTCAGTGCCTCACAACATCAGTTTCTGTCTTGACAAACTTTAACCCTATTTGCCAATGGCATACAGAAGTTTATAAGCATGACTTCACAGCACAATAGTGTATCTGATAGATTAAAATCAGATCCTTTAATTAACATAATCTTATATCCTTTCAGAGCCTTCCCTGTAAAGCAAAATACATGCCAGTGTTTATGCTAGATTACTTACAACTAGTATAGAAGATCACCACCGTGTGGCCATTTCCAGCTACTGCAGTGCTGATTGTTTCCGCAGTCAGTTCTGGGACCAGATCAAAGTTTAGCTCCAAGTCTCTGTCTCTGTAAACGGATTCTGCTACCTCATCATCCAAAATGTCTGAGGAGAATGAAAATGTACACAAATTAATCCTCAGTACTCTACAAAAAAAAAGTCAAATGTGGCACAGAAAAGAAAACATCATTTGAATAATGCCATTCTTTGGTATTAATATTAAACCATTTTTTTTACAGATGTAAAATTTCTTCCAGCATCAATTTTCACAGCAGAAGCAGCCCTGTTAATGACAAATGTCAGTCACCATACGCATTTACCTGTGTCTGTTAAATAAAATAGCAATGCACCTGCTATAAAAGATGGTCAATTTCCTGATAACTTTGTGAATTTGTTGCAGTTATAAGTCATGAGTTTGTTTGGATGCTCCATATATTTCTTACAAGCCTTTTCAAATATTTTTTGCCAAAGTATGTAAGTGGGAGACAATTAGCACTGTCACAAGCTACAGTACATGTATTTCATCTTTGAACCCTTGTGAATATACTGCAAAATGGTATAATGAACAATTTTGTATGCATTTCTTTCACATTTTGTGCTGCATTACTAAATACTTCTCACTGAAAACATGTTAAAATACATTATTAAGACTGCTAAATCCCAGAAGTACAAAATATTATTACATTTTTATTGGTTTCCTGTTGGATTTCTTGTTTAAAACATCGATTCCTTAACAGAATAGTTTGGAAAATTTACTGCAATCAAAACATACCATAAGGTTCTTTAATATACAAGAAGACGTTCTTATAATACTTGTGATCATTATATAATCTATTGTACAAAACAGGAAGTCTCCTGTGTCAACGGTGCGACTGATCGTCATATGTACAGTAGCTATCAAAAGTATTCAGCCCCTTGGACTTTTTTACATTTTTATTGTGTTACAATATGGAATCATAATGTATTTAATGGGGGGGGTTGCTATTGATTGACAGAAAACACTCTGCCAAAGTGTTGCAGCAATGCTTCCCAATAGCATGATACTGCCACCACCATGCTTCGCGGTAGGGATGGTGTCCTCAGGATGATGATCACCATTGCATTGGAGCCAAAATAAGCACTTACCGCTGAGGTAAAAAATGTCAAGTTTGGTCTCCTCAGAACATAGAATCACCTTCCACTTGGTTTCAGAGTCTCCCATACGCCTTCCATAAAAGTGTAGTCAACATCTGATGTGAGTTTATTGTCTCAATTGTCATATGCACCGCTTCTCCCATCTCAGCCATGGAAGACTGTAATTCCTTTAGAGTTGTCACGGGCCTCTTGGTGGCCTCCCTGATTAGTGCTCTTTTCACACCGATACTTAGAATTTGAAGACACCCTGTGTTTCCAGAGTTTCAAAGTTGTTCCAAATTTTCTATATTTCTTTATAATGGACTTTACTGTGCTTTGGGGGATATGTAATGCCATGGAAATTTTCTTATACTCTTCCCCTGATCGGTGTTTTTCAATAACCCTATCCCAGATTTACTTTGAAAGTTCATTTGTCTTCATGATGTAGCTTCTGTTGGGAGCTGTACTAATCAACTGTGGGACCTCCCAGAGATAGGTATACAGTATTTATCCTGAAATCATGTGAAATACCCTAATTGGACACGTGGACCCCATTCAACAAATAATGCAACCTTTAAAGACATTTGGTTGCACCACAGCCCATTTAAGCGTGACATAGTAAAGAAGGTCAATACTTATGCAACCACTTGTTTTCTGTTTTATATCAATAATTAATTTACAGCGGAGGATCTGTAAAATTGTATTTTCACTTTGATATTACAGAACATTTTGAGACGATCAATGGCGAAAAGTCCCATATAAATACTGTACATTTTGATTCGATATTATAACACAGTAAAATGTGAAAAAGTCCAAGGAGGGTGAATGCACATAATTGCAAAAAGCTGCTTAATATTTTATAGGGACAAGTAATAGGTTTATTCCATGCTGAATGTTTTCTTTCTTCTTTGTTTCAGGATGGAATAAACCTATTACTTGTTCCTTTGCAGCCTACGCATACGGACGCAGCTACCCACCTGACTTAATATTTTATGTACAGATATTTTACCTAAAACAGACCAATGTTGTTCTTCCTCATCTTCCCCCTCCTCTTCCTCTTCCAGCGGGTTTTGTTCTTGGAAAATTCTCACAGCTTCATCTAAGTTCTTCAAAGTCAGATACTCGACAGGGGAACCCTGATTAGGGACAAAAATCCACCTGTAGGTTCAGTAACTGCGACCTACTGTCAATCGCTCCTCTGGTGTCTCCAATATGTTTCATGTCAGTGCGAGCTGTCAGGTGACTCACCTCTCCGGGCACCCGGTATGCCACATTATACTCCACAGGGATGTTCACTGCTGGGTTATCCCTGTCCCAAAGATTGAGGAAGATAAACTGTGACTTTAAACAGCAGTTACATCACACCACTTCTGCACTGATTTGTGCTGTAATGCACGTTTCCCTTTCAATTTACACTGCAAGTGGGAGGTCTAAGAAAATTAACATTATTTGACTATGAAAATGATCACAGCCACAAGGTTTTGAATACAGATCTTACACCCACCCCACCCCTCCATCTCATAAGAGACAGGGAAGCAAAAGATTTTACTGTATCAGTCAACACCATTCATACACAATAACCCTGAAGACATTACTGGATTCTACAAGTAACGTATTATTCGGACAGTGGTTTTAAAGGAGAAGTCTACATTGGCTCTGACAGAAGTGATTAATGTTTATAACTGAACAAGCAGCTTGAGGTACCTGAGCCAACAAAGAAAACAATTCACTGTGCAAGACAGGAAAGGAATCTGTCACTTCACCATGTTTTCAAGATTAATTGGTTGTCCTGAGCCAAAAGCACAAAATGAAAATATTAAATCTCCACTGACTGATAATTAGAACAATTTGCTAACTTATACAGCAGAAGATCTCTCCCCAGTAGACTGTTTTTAACTCCTTCTCATGACCTCGGCCTGAATTACTGAATACGTACAGTAAATGTGGCGCAAAAGGTACAGAACTATAGAAACTAAACTAAAGACTTAATTACAATTCCAATCTCATGCACTGGGTAATGCCCTGCTCCAGCAGACACACAAACCTGTGCAAGAGGACGAGGCCAGCCTGTCCCCTCAGCCGCCGGGCGAGGGAGAGGGCAGTGTTCCTGTCCAGGTCAAGGGTCTCTCGCTGAGTGAAGACGAACAGCAGTGGGGTGTGGAGGCGGCTGTGCACTGTCCTGACCTGGGATGGCTCCACAGATGCCTCTGTCTGGCAGGTACAAAGGCAGGTTAACGGCAGTGCAGTGAACTACTTTAACCACGGACGCTTAAACAAATGGCTTTCATCGTTTCTTTCAAAGGTAGGAAGGGCCCTTTTCCATCCTTTCATCTGTATTTAGCGCCACAACTGTTGGGCTGTTTTGCATTTTCATTCAATTTAGACATGGTAGTGTCTTTTTAACAAGATTCAGAAAAGAATTCCTTTCAAAACACAAAGTGATTACAATAATTAATAACCTTAACGCCAGTAAAATGATAAGGCCAAAACAACTGTGTATTAATTCCATACAAGGACAATTAAATTACTTACAGCACTGCAATCTGCTTGTTTCTTATTCAAATTACATTTAAGATCACTTTTGCATTTTGGCCCAGTTCAGGAACAGAAACAGAAAACAAAATGCAATTCTGGTCTTGGACACAAGAGGGAGGTGAAGCCTAGAATATGTTGGCCCTGCTCCACTCATTTTTAAAACCAGAGAAAAATTTACTGTTTTGACACAGAAGATGACAGACAGACAGACAGACAGACAGACAGACAGACAGACAGACAGACAGACAGACAGACAGACAGACAGACAGACAGACAGACAGACAGACAG